CATCATTAAATTCTTGTGATTATTGTTTATTTGATAAACAGCATAGAGTATCCTTTTAGAAATCCTCTAGTAGAAAATCTAATGTTTTGGATTTGATTTATTCTGACGTTTGTGGTCCCATTGAGGTGGAGTCCTTAGGTGGTAATAAGTATTTTCTTACTTTTATTGATGATGCTTCACGAAAGTTGTGGGTGTTCTTTATGAGATCAAAAGACCAGGTTTTTGAGTACTTCAAAGAGTTTCATGCCATGGTGGAACGGGAAAGTGGAAAGTTTTTGAAGTGTCTCCGAATTGACAATGGAGGTGAATATACGTCTAAAGTGTTTAAAGATTACTGCTCAGAACACGGTATTAGACATGAAAAGACAGTTCCTGCTACTCCACAGCACAACAGTGTGGTAGAGAGAATGAACCATACCATTGTAGAAAAGGCCAGAAGCATGTTAAGGATAGCTGGGTTACCTAAATCATTCTGGGGCGAAGCAATTCGAACAACGTGCTACCTAATCAACCGGTCTCCATCAGCTCCTTTGGATTTTGAAATTTCAAAAAAATTGTGAACAGAAAATGATGTTTCTTATTCTCACTTGAAGGTTTTGGGTGCAAAGTATTTGCACATGTGGCTAAGGAACAACGGTTGAAGTTAAATGATAGAGCTAGTCCTTGCATTTTTGTTGGCTATGGAGATGCATAATTTGACTATAGATTATGGGATCCAGAAAAGAAAAAAATATTTAGAAGCAGAGATGTGAGTTTTCATGAAAATCAGAGGTTGGCAGATGTTGAGAAATCTGGGAATCAAAGACGTGTTATTGAGTGTGTCACTAACCTTACACCTATCTTTATGCCTTCAGACAATGTCACTCAGAGGATAGAGACACACGTTAACAATTAAGCTGAAGAGCTAGCAAGAGTTGACGAGGATGATTTAGAGGATGTTGCGTAGAGGGGTAGCCTACTATATCAGGACCTCAGATCATAAGATCTACTAGGGAGCATCGTCCATCAACCAGGTATCCAGTATCAGATTATGTATTGGTAACTGATGAGGGGGAGCCAGAATATTTTCAAGAGGTAGAATCTCATAAGGACAAACAAAGTTGGGTGAAGGCTATGCAGGAAGAGATGAGCTCCTTGCAGAAGAATAACACTTATGAGCTAGCAAAGCTTCCTAAAGGTAAAAAGGCATTGAAAAATAAATGGGTATTCAAGTTGAAGAAAGATGGTGAAAAGCTAGTGAAATATAAAGCTCGATGGGTGGTAAAAGGCTTCGGTCAAAAGAAATGGATTGACTTTGATGAGATATTCTCTTCTGTTGTCAAAATTATTTCTATTCGAGTAGTTTTGGGTTTAGTAGCTGGTTTGGATCTTTAGCTTGAGCAGTGAGATGTCAAGACCACCTTTCTCCATGGTGATTTGGAGGAAGAAATCTACATAATTCAGCCAGAAGGATTTGAAGTAAGAGGAAAAGAACATATGGTTTGCAAGTTGAAAAAGAGTTTGTGTGGATTGAAACAGGCTCCAAGACAGTGGTATAAGAAGTTTGATTCATTTATGGTGGGTCATGGCTATAGCAGGGATGCAGATCACTGTGTTTATATCAGAGAATTCCATGGTGGTAACTTCATCATCCTTTTGCTATATGTAGATGATATGTTGATAGTGGAACATGATTTTCAATTAATTCGCAGTTTGAAAGTAGATCTATTCAAGTCGTTTGATATGAAGGATCTTTGACCAGCAGGACAAATTTTGGGAATGTATATTCGTCGTGATAGGAAAGCCAGAAAGATATGGTTATCACGGGAGAAATATGTAGAGAGTGTACTCGAAAGGTTTAACATGAATAATGCTAAACCTGTTGGGACACCACTTGGTAGTCACTTCAAACTGAGTAAGGTGACTTGTCCTTCTAAGGAGGAAGATAAAGAAAAAATGGCAAAGATTTCTTACTCCTCTGTGGTTAGGAGTTTGATGTATGCCATGGTTTGTATACGGTCAGACATTACTCATGTAGTTGGGGTAGTCAGTAGATTTCTTGTTAATCCCGGGAAAGATCATTGGGAGGCAGTGAAATGGATCTTTAGATACCTGAGATGTACTTCTAAGATGAGCTTGACTTTTGGAGGTTCAAAACCAATTTTGGAGGGCTTTACAGATGCAGATATGGCTGGTGATCTTGATGGTAGAAAATCAACTTCGGGATATTTGATTAATTTTGTAGGGGGAGCTGTCTCATGGCAGTCAAAATTATAAAAGTGTGTTGCCTTATCTACAACTGAAACTGAGTATATTGCAGCAACTGAAGCAGCGAAAGAAATGCTTTTGATGAAACGGTTTCTTCAAGATTTGGGTTTGAAACAAGATGTGTATGTACTAAATTGTGATAGTCAAAGTGCATTAGACTTGAGCAAGAATGCTACTTATCATTCTCCGACGAAGCACATTGATATTAGATTTCATTGGCTACGATAGGTAGTGGCAGAACAATTGCTATTATTAGAGAGATTCATACAGAGAAGAATCCAATTGATATGATGAAAAATTTAGTGATCGGAGAAAAGTTTGAGCTTTGTACCGAATTGGCTGGCATGGATTCTAACTAATTTGTTAGAAAATAATTTCCTTCCTCAATGGGCTAGAGGGGAAAATTGTTATAATGATCCAGCCCACTAAGCCTATTATAAGAATTAATTGGCCCAAATTTTATATTGTTTAATTAGATTAAAAATGGTGGTTATATATAAAAATACATCCCTCTCTCTCTTGGCTGTTTTGTGTGAGAGAAATCTAATGGTCAACAACGGCAGCTAGAAGTTTTGAAAAAGTTGTGGCTGTTGAGTGGAAATAGAGAGAGAAAGGACCGGCTGAAAGAGAAGAAAAATTGGTGGCTGTTGGGGAATAAACTATTGCTACTAGAAAGAATTTTTTTTATTGAGGTGTGGAATCACAAATGTTATTTTTCTTCTCCATAATATATAAATTGGGAATTTCTCTAAAATATATTTTGGATTTGTATTCAAAGTAGGTTCTTACAAGGTTGATCAAATTGTTGATTTGTTGTAAGATAAATCGTTGTCTTAGAGATAGATTATTGTAGTATTTCCAATTTGTGGAGAATTCAAGTTTTGAGGCATAATCTTCAATATTGTAATCGATTTTAATTATTATAGTAGATTTTGACCAGGGTTGCCCCGTGATTTTTTTCCCTTTACATTGGAGGGTTTTTTCCACGTAAAATTTGGTGTTGCGTTTTCTTTTTTTTTGCTTGGATTATTTATTTACATAGTTGATCGTTCTAATTAATTGCTTGGATTGGTAAATTTATTCTTGCAATAATTGAAATTGCCCAACAGCTCATTCCATTAAGAAGTAATGTGTTGGTTAAGCAATTGATTAAATCAATGCTACCATTTTCTCAAAAGAAATTAAAGAAGGAAGAAGACATTTGATTCCAGGTAAATGGATAGTCTTCTTTTATTCAAAATTAAGCATGTGATGGCATTACAGAACTTTTTTGAAAAGAATCATCATTAAGTTTTCCTCTTGAAAAAAATGGCAACTGGAAGTAATTGAATCGATTTATTTAAATTTCTTACCAGTTCTTGCGGTTGTTTAATTTTCTGTGCCTTTGAATTGTCTCCTTACCAGTGGTTTACATGATGAACAAGAATAAAAATATTAGTTCCCCTTTTGATGGAAATCACACGTGATATTTTTCCTGACAGAAACAAAAAGAAATATTTCTTGAACAATTTAATATGACGTAAAATTGGTTGATACGATTTAGATTTTCATTTTCTTCAATTACTGTATGTCTTTGATCAAGCTAAAGAACAAACAAGAGGTAGGTCGACTGGGCAATCCTAGAATTTTCTCATGAACCTGAATAATGGAATATTTTATTATTTGAGGGGTAAAAACAAGATTAGATGGGACTAGAGGAGGTACAACTGACTGAAGGCATTGTATTGAAAATTTAATCCTTCAGTTTTATTATACAAGTTGCATTTTGTTTAAGCAAACGGATAAGAATTGCAGCTAGGGCTGCCTATTGTAGGATTAGAGAGGTGGACAATGGCTCCACCTAACTTGCCCAGTCACATAACCCATGTTTGGCCAGACCGGGCATACAGGCAAATCCTCTCCCTGTAGTGTTAAAGAGTAAAATTTTACATTGTCTACATACGAAAATCAAAATCAACATATAAAAGGCAAGACCAATCGAGTTGGTCTCATATAATGGCATGACCAATCTATATGAACTCGAAGGTTTCTTGTAACTCTCAGAAAAAGAAGTGGCTTCATTCCATGTCTCATTTCTCTCTTGTACAGGTTGTGGTATTGTAGCCTCTACT